GTAAAAACCTTGTTGAGATAATGGCTATTATTGGACAGGTAAAAACCTTGTTGAGATAATGGGAGGGAAATGTTGTGACTTTGGAAGTGTGAAAGATGTTTCAGTTTTTACTGGATCAGCGTTGCGAATTCTTCTCTGCTTACCTTCGGTGTCCCAGAGGTTTCGCTGTAGCTTTGTAGTAAATGACAACAGAATTCCCAATGATTCTATATTGTACCTAACTAGTAAGCTTTAGGTTTTCACCAATATATTGTATATCTCTTTCAGATTCGTGATGAAGCCAGGAAAGCAGGGGTTCCTCCTGCCCGTGAATCCATCTGGCAATACTTCGTTACCAAGTGTGCTAATAACCTTCATATTGTATTGGCAATGTCTCCCGTGGGGGATGTACTTAGGACGCGTTGTCGTAACTTCCCTGGTCTGGTTAATAACTGTAGTATTGATTGGTTTACTGCATGGCCCGAACAGGCTTTGCATGCGGTGGCTTCAGTCTTCCTCGGCGAAAATGTACGTACAATCTAAATAGTATTTTGTCCTTATAAAGGAAATGTGTAGACTCGTGTTCTTTCTTTGTAATTGCCGCGGGTTGCTGCAGTAATTTTGTGTTTGTACTAGCGTACTTGGAATGTTTCTCTAATCATTGTTGCGTCATTTCACCATGCTATTCTCTGTTTGTTATGATAGAATGATAAGATACCAGATGATTATCGCGATACTGTAGTAGATCACGTGGTGTTCGTCCATCAAACTGTTGGTAAATACAGTGTTAGTTTTTTACAAAAACTACGTCGTGTTAACTACACTACGCCAAAGAACTACTTGGACTTTATTAATACCTATAATAAACTACTGGAAGAGAAGGACAAGTATGTACTGGAACAGGTTAGTACCAGTTAAATCATACAGGCTGCCATGTAAGGTTAGTTAATGTAAATACATGCAATGCTCGACCGAGAGAAGTATCAGGACAACCCTGACGTAAAGGAAGGTTACGAGGTTGTTACAAGTTTCTACGGGTTCTTCAATAAAAAAAAATTAATTTGTAAAACGCAATTTAAGATGAAAAATTGGCGCCATTAGGACAAGCGCTTAGTAACGATGATTAGAAGCGCAATACTCATTTATTGTATTTCATACTCGTATTATTTCCTTTGCCAGTGTCATCGTTTGGATGGAGGTCTAAGTAAACTCCTTGCTGCAAGCGAACAGCTTAAAGAACTCAACGAGAAACTCGAGGTGCAAAAAATCGCTGTCACCGAGAAAACTGAAGCATGTGAAACACTGTTGGTTGAAATCCAACGAGCAACAGAACAAGCTAACGAGAAGAAAGAGATGGCACAAGGAAAACAAAAAGAAATTGCTGAACAAAACAAAGTCATTCAAGTTGAAAAGAAAGAAGCCGAGGAGGCTTTGGCTGAAGCCCTTCCTGCATTGGAGGAAGCTAAATTTGCACTACAAGACTTAGACAAGTCAGACGTTACTGAAATAAGGTATTGTTATTAAATACTGGTAGTGTTTTCTTGTATCGTAAGAATTAGAAATATCAGCCTGAGAATGATGTGTACAAGCACCATCTTTGTGTATTCAATAGTTGTTCACAATGTCAATAATGGAAATTCGTACTAAGTAAATTCATGTGCTGTTTCTCAGATCGTTCGCCAAGCCCCCTCGTGCTGTCCAGATGGTGTCAGAGTGCATCGTTATTTTACGTGGTTACAAAGAAGTCAGTTGGAAGTCTGCTAAAGGAATGATGTCCGAAGGAAACTTCTTAAAGAGCCTGACTGAGATGGACGTTGATGGTATTACAATTGGACAAGTATGTAAACACTCTTATGATTACACTAATGATGATGATAGTAGTGCATGTGAACATGATGCTGATAATAATAATTGATGATGGTGTTGCTTTGATCACGAAGGAAGTGTTGCTTGTGTCATGATGCTGATACTTCTGATGATACCAAATCATGATAACGATGATTTATAGAACTAAAGCGATGATGATTGTCGATGATTT